AGGGGCCATCCATAAATTACGTCACAACTTAAGGGGGAGGGAGGGGGTCGACGAAGTGTGACATTGTGTGACAAGGGGGAGGGAGGGATCCAAAACTTTGTGATGTCACATTTCAAAAACTAATAGTTAATCTGTGTTAAAATACGAAACATAAATGTATTAATGTTTTTTATTAAGTTAATTGTTTGATTTGACATTAATATTTTTTTAAAGTAATTTAAGTGAAAAAACAATAGTTTCTATACTGTAATTCTGCAAATTGTGACGTCACACTAGGGGGGGGGGGCGTCTCACAAATGTGACTAGCTGTGACAAGGACGGGGGGAGGGGTATAAAAATCATGAAATTCGTGTGACGTAATTTATGGATGACCCCAAATGAGTGACAGAGACAGCATTATACTACTTTTGTGTTCCTGTGAGTGCGTTTATTTGCTGTGTCTTTACTTCTATCGCTGAGGAACAAAAGTCATTGTGCATATTATCTAGTAGGTTACTTACTATTTTTGAGTAACACATGTGCCTAAGTAAAAAGTGCGCTCGACTGTACTACTTATTTTTTTTTAAGGTATAATAGTATTTGGGCGAATAGTCCATTACTAAATTTTACTTGACCTGATTCGCCCGCTATTAAATTTGTCTCGGGCGAAACCGGCCCTAAAAAATATTCAAAATTGAAAGTAGATCATTCGCCCAATTCGGGCGAACAAAAATTAGGGCGAAACCGCTACTAAGCCAAAATCCCGAGTTACTCACGTACAAGTTCAGCCTAGTCAGTAGGCTGCGTGACATCGATGCGACCGCGCACGCTGCTCATGAGGAAGAACCCCTCTGTGGCTCGAAACTAATAGACCTTTTCTCAGTATATTTACGACCCGCGATTTTTAATTAATTTAGTATGTCTCACGATAGTTATTAATTTATTATAAAATACTCAGTTTCACTAAATTACCGATTCACCAATTCACGTCCAAGTCCATTTAAACTTCCTGCTTTGTCCAAAATTGTTTAACATATTCTAAGGACCCTATTTTGTCGGGACTCTGGTTACACGACATCAAGCTATACATAATTATAACCAGTGTAAACTGACCGTCGCATGTGCGGAGAGGGTTGACACAGTGAGACCATGATAAATTGGTTTTGTATACTTCGATGTGTTGTCATTTGTAACACCATTTACTAAATAAATAAAGCACTTAAGCATAGGGTGAAAAAACAGTCCTAATTTAAACGAAAATATTTTCTAAATTTTATTTTATTCTATCTTCAGCGCCGTCTCACCCGCTCTGCTCAGATTTTATTGACCGAAGCGTGACGAAATAAATACAAAAAGAAATTTTTCTTCAATCCAGCCTAGTAGTTTCTGAGATTACCGCGTTCAAACACACAAACGAATAAACTCTTTAGTGAACTCTTTTGTGTTATAAGACAAATATAATGAAATCCTGCTCATGAATATGAGCCTCTAGCATCGCTTGAAACTAATCGAGTTCCTCGTCAAACAGAACTTACGTTAGTAAGTTGACAACACACATACATAACTTCACGCCTGTCTCCCATGGGGGTAGGCAGAGATTAGGGAACGCCAATTAACCAAAGCCGACAACATATGAATTAATAAAAAAAAATGTGTAATCTCAGGCTTAACGCAGTATGTCTATGATTCAGTAAAGGAGGTAGGACATTACCTAGTATGAGCGCCATTACAGATTTATTACGTGATAAAATTTAATGATTTACACATGCCTTGGATTTTGTGCCCACCTCCGATGCGATACGGAGTTGTGTATTTTTGCAAGTACTGAAAATTGAACGAAACTAACCAAAAATGTGATTGAAAACAACGTCTTTTTAATTAAGATTTGTCTTTTATGTGGTTCTTATCTAAACTAAGTCTAAGTTATATTAAGCTATGTAAATCTTTAGATTTCATCTTGAAATGCGTTCGCTTTAAAATATGTTTTAGATGAACTGGTTTCTACCAATTAGGTAGTATCCTATTAACCTTTTGAGCACCAATGTCACATAATAAGTGACAAGCGAAATCTGTCCCTGGACGCCAACGATATAAAAACATGACAGAAAAAGCGGAACCGGAAACATGAAATTAACAATTTGATTCCCTATTGGAATCCCTAATTCTTTCGTTGAAATTTGCGCGGAATTTGAGGCTTGGCGTTAAGGGCAGGTTCATCTGTTTTTGCTCTGGCGTTCAAAAGGTTAAGGAAAAATGGCAATGCATCAAAAACACATAGTAACCTAGTTTTAAAAACGATTATTTATGTTAGAAATTAGAATGCAATAAAACTGAAATCAATAACAAAGTTAGAAATAAAAAGTAGGGCATTTCGTTGGCATTAGACTATACCTAGAATAAACTAGGTTATACGACAATGTACATCCAATGAAGGTAAATAGTAATTGCGCTTTACTTATTAACTGACTATCGATTCTGTTTGATAGGACTAAATTACTAAGTCTATTGTTTTTCTGTAAAAAATGTCTAAACGTGGTTGGTTTAGGACAAAAAATTAAGCCTTTTATTTATTTAAACTTTAATTTACACAAAACAATAAAAAACATGGCGAACTTAATGCTTTATGACATTCTCTACCAGTCAACCTTAGGGTCAAGTATAAAAATCAGTATAATTCCTTCAAAAGAGGTACTGAAATAAGTCATTCACTTAAGTCTTCACACTAAAGAATCTGATACTTACACTTAGAACTTTGAGTAACTTAATCACATGAAAATTCTTAATAGGAAATACACAATAGTTACAATTAATATTGCTTCATTGAAGTTACATTGTCCATTATACTACATTGTACTGGTCAAGATCCAAGTGGTCACCGGTGACGGCTCTCCACTTACCATTATACACCTTATTTCCGATGTTTAGAGACTACTTTTGTATAAACAAATGTTGTGGATTTTTCATAATCGGACATTTACGAGGTAATTGTAATAATATTCTTCCAACATTGAATGGCCACTAAGTATATTAAAAACAATAATAAAGGAAGCTAAATAAAATTGAACCGAAATTGTACAAGACTAGCCCGGAATTCAAAATGGCGGGTCTGTAACTAATAATTCTATTATTTTCCAGGTGCAGCTATACCAGTCTCCGACTCCTGAGTTGGCGATGGCCACCAAGCTCTCCGCTTCAGCTGGCCGCTCCACGCCGACTAAACCTAATGATGATAAACTTATCGTCTTCTACAAGTAAGTAGCTCATTACCGAGTGCCAAGCACGAATAACCATCGTATTCGTAACGTAATTGTATCGAGCTTGTTCGGCGCACTGATTGGCCGGCTCCAGTAAACCAACCAATGTGAGAGTGTGTGTTAGGTTACCATAGGTCCAAAGCCCTAAATGGTTAGCAAAGTTCTTATAACTATTACTAACTATCAGATCAGGTGATCCGTCTACTCATTTACCTTCCCTGTTCCATTAAAAATCACTTCTTAGTGAAAAACTCAATCTTATACCGTATGGGCAGAATGGATATTAACTCGTTGAAATCCATCCCCTAAATTTGGTCATACAAAAGTAGTCTCTAAATATTAGAAAAATGTAATGTAATATTAGTGGAAAGCGGTCACCGGTGACCGCTTGGGGATTTATGGGCTAAGAAAATCTTCATAGTATCCTTTCACACCTTTTCTATCCCTATTCCCCTCTCAAGTCGCGGAGAAACTAACGGGTAACCGGCGCTCCGGCTCGACGTGCAGGAGAAGGAACGGGGTGGTTTTTAGTCAGTAAGAGTCTGACACTCCCTCCCGCCTCACCCAGGCGGAAGCAGTCATTCGATGATTTTCCCCCCTTAAAAAAATAAAAAAATTCCCCTCTCAAACCCTAGTCCACCCATTTTATCACTATTGAATGTTTAATTAAATATCATATTATTATAGTGTTTTAGTCTTACTATGTGATAACTGGCAAGCGCTTCAATGTAAGAGAAAAGACGCTCATCATGGAATGTATCTCACAAAAAAAAAATGTTTAGCGTTTACTGAACTATTAAGTTGTATGATTGTTAAATACAAATTACTAATCCTTGTATTACAATCAACAGGAACGAATATTTAGCAGTGCGCAACGCTGAAGGTGGCTTCTATGTGTGTCAAGCAATGCAAAACGTGTACCGTACTACGCGCAAGATCAAGATACGCTGGCTGTCACAGGACAAGACCGCGGACCCGGCGGGCGAGACTTACAAGCCTGACTTTTATGATGTCACAGGTAGAAAACTTGTATGAGAATTACTTATTTATTATGTTCCACGTCTTATTCACGTACCTAATTGGGTATCGAGGTAAGCCGATTTGTTTCAAGCCATGCTAGGGGCTCATATAAGTAGCATCGCGGCACACGAGTGAAAATGAAACAGCCAATGTGTGTAATATGTGGCAATTTATGTACTTTTGGGCTCATTTTTTTTAAAGCAAAGTATGTATAAATCCTAGGATCCTTAGATATAAAGCAGTATATAAGTAATTAGAGATGCGTACCACGTTTTTTCAATTGTCATTGTTTGTTACTGACCCATTCAACACTATTTAAAACCACATATTCCTATTTGACTATTGATTGTCTTGTTAGCTAAGTGGTCGTCAGTGTGAGTGCTGGGCAAGGAGTCTCGAGTTCGATTCCATGGTTGGGGAATGTATTAATGGGTTTTTTTCAACAATCTCAGTAGTAGCATGGAGTTTGGAATTGCGCCCGGTATATGGCAATAAGCTCACCCTCTATTACGTGGGACTCATAACATAAATAGTGAAAAGTTAGTTACATTGTACAGTGGCATTAAGTGCCGTAATCTGTACTTTTGTCTACCCCTTCGGGGATAAAAAGGGGTAATGTTATGTAATGGTATATCGGTATAGAGTGGTTCTGTCGTCCCCAGACATGGAGTGCGTGCTGACGACGCTGTCGCTGGCGCGCGGCGGGGGCGGCGCGCAGCTGCTCCGCGCCAGCGAGGCGGCCCGCGCGCGCTCCATACTCACGCGCGCGCTCCACGCAGAGGCCACCGGCACCACCGCCACCGCGCTCACCGAGGAACACCCCGACGGACGTCAGTACTGCACCACTCAATATCTATTATCTACATATATAAAAATTAAACCCGTTTCCCGTTGTCACGCCATAACTTGAGAACGGCTTGACCAATTTGACTGATTTTTTTTTTGTTGTGTTTGTTATAGTCAGGAGAAGGTTCTAATGACAGAAAAAAGTCCTGGTAATCCTACGGGAATAGGAAACAGGATTGCGCGTACAAAGTCGCGTGCAGAAGCTAGTTCAATATATATCTTTAAATACAAAGAAAAAAAACACAATTTATTTGCACCGTAACAGAAATTATACAAAAAAAATTGTTTAAAAAAGAGCAAAAAGACCAGTGTTCAACTAAAATGCCGTAACCCGAACACAATAGCTCAAGTCACAGTATTACATTATCTCTACAGCTAGAGTTCAAACTTAACCCTTCAATTCCATCACTGTCTACAGTCTACACTACTTAACTAGATTTACGACATCTATCTATTTTCTGTGGGTACATTTATATTCTTGAGAAGTCTAGTAGAAGTAGAATTTTGACACATTTTCTGTACAGTTTATGTCGAATGTCATGGTCTTTGAAATTAGTTGTTCTGTGTTAATGTACACAGAACGCAAAGCTTCTGCATATTGTTAAACGTTATTGTTTCTGGAACCTTCTAAGGGTAATGTAACATTCTTAACTTGACATTATAAGATTTTAAACCTTCCGAAAAGCTGTAACGACTGTCATTGATGTTTATGACAATCGATGTATCTTGTTGAAATAAAATGTACAATATTTACAGTGGACCTCTCATTATACAAAGATGAATCGCAACTAGAGAAGAAGGGCCGCAAACGCAACAGTTCGAAATCATCGCCGAGAGCCAAACTCGACAACTCTAATGATACAGAGGTGAGAATCATATCCTTGAGAGATTATTTATGTTATAGATTTGACGGCAAGGTTGTCGTGGTGGCTGGGTAATCGGCTGCCGCGCAACGTGCGGTTTCGATTCCCGCACGGACCAATTCTTTGTGTGATCCACAAATTGTTGTTTCGGGTCTGTGTGTCATGTGTATGTGAACTTGTATGTTTGTAAACGCACCCACGACACAGGAAAAAGTCCTAGTGTGGATTCTAGTGTGAGTCCTAGTGTACATTTCCTTTTAAAAAACAAAAAAAAAAAGTAAAGCTGAGATACGTCTACGTGGATAATTCTGCACCTAGCAAGGAATGCCACTTTATAGTGGTTCTCATAAAGAAACACGATGTAGTGCTAGGTGTATCATTAAATCTACGGTTTCTTACATGAGTATAGAAGATACACACACATAACACTTTTGTTATTAAACACTAAGTTATTGTAGACTTCTAAACATTTGTTTGTTAATTTCTTATCATTGTTCCGTTGTTCCAGGACTCGGCGACGCCCGTGAAACGCGCGCGGACAACGCCAAAGCGCAGTCCAAAAAGCGCTCGCAAAACAAAAGCACAAACAAAAACACAAACAAACAATAAGAGAAAATCGTCAGGTAGTACGCCCACTGTGGCGAGCACTAGCAAGGTAGGCATAGTACAACGGATATATAGAAATGTACGTATCCGCAATCACCAGTCATTTACATTCATGTTCGAGAGTGAGTAAGAGTGCCGTGGTGTGCGTCGCTCTCGCTCACACAGCGTGCGTGCGAGCGAGACGCCGACATGTCTGTTGGGGTCAGAATCTAACTAAATTATACTAAAAAGACAATTGAAACTATCTAGTATCACTTTGGTAACTAAATATAGCTCAATCTAAAGTCTTATGTAAAGGTATGCTATAATTATATGAAATATTAATATAAAGTTAGCATATTTGCACAAACCCCAGCAGACTGCACAGTATGTGTTGTGTTAAGAAAGTATTAGTTAGACAGAGTTGTGTTAAATTGGAGATTTCGGAGATATTGATGGAGTATATTTTTTATCGGTTCTTATATTATGCATGCGTTAATAATGTCTACTTTATTCGCCATAGAATTGTATTTGTCAAAGTTGTTGGTGAAGAGGTGAAGCCGAGTTGAATAGTTTTTTATTTATATACTAGCGACCCGCCCCGGCTTCGCACGGGTGCAATATGTATATACATACAACCCTTCCTTAAGAATCACTCTATCTATTAAAAAAAACCGCATCAAAATCCGTTGCGTAGTTTTAAAGATCTAAGCATACATACGGACATACAGCGAAAGCGACTTTGTTTTATACTATGTATTGATAGATATAGAATTTTAACCCGTCGTTTGTCTAAACGTAAATCCACGCGAGACACATTGTATTTTCTATTGTCTCATATCGGTGCATATCGGTATCATAAAGATCTTTT